ATTCCTGCTTAAATTTTTATGTAAACTCAGTTCTTCAGTTCCGTTCCATTTCTCATCACAAAAAAAACGTGATTTCAGTAAGCAGGTAATTCAGCATTTTATGCAAATAGACACCAAATAGGCCCCTAGGAATATCTTCAGCTAATTTTCTTGATTTAATTTCATAGGATTAATGTAAATTCACCAGTCTCTTTCTACTACATAATCAAATCAGTGAAGCTGAAGTGGTCTATATCTAATTCTATATTCTGGAGCTTGATGAAGCAGGTGCTGAATTACTTGAATATAATTTGGTTACTTAATAATCCACAATATCTAAAAGAATCTGAAGTAGATCACCGAAATTGCACTCTAGTATCATGTTTCACTTGCTTGATCCCTTCAGAGGTGCCTTGTTTCTCAGACCCATGGCAGCTGTTTTCCTACATTTAAGCAAAGGACAGGCTTCTAAGTGGCAACTCCTTTTTGATAGGATTTAGCTACATTTTTTTAACGTCTTGACATACTTCTGCATAGTTTTTTGGATATTTACAGAATTCACAACAACCTTTATCTTAATTATCGCATAAAAAGGTCTGCAAATCTAATACTACCACAGGGATTTTTTCCCTGAGTATACAGCATGATGGCACAGACATTGCAGGCTGGTGCCAAAATATAAAACCAGAGCAAACCCCACCACTGCATATAAAATGTGACAGCATTAGTACAGAGAAAAATGTTAAAATACTCCTCTCAAATACAAATAACATCTCATTTTCAAAGCTCTGTGTTTTCCTCAGTGCTTTGCTTGTTACTGATGTCAGTAGGAGGTCTGCACACAGACTGAAAATATAATAAATGAATAAAAACCTGTTTGAAGCTGAGTCTGGGAATAATTTTGCCCAGAGGATTACTTCTACTGACCATCATCTGACTTGAAATTAATAAAGAAATATCCTTCTTATTAACCTGATTTACAGGACAACATGACTAGTGTCAAAAAGAAAAATGGGTATTGTTGGGTTATGGAAGTCTTTACTAGACAACAAATTACACTGATGTTATATGACTTCTTTTATAATAACTTAAAGGCTCACTTTAAAAGCACCTTGATGTTTGACTGCTGCAAACAACCTTAATAACTTTTGTCCATTGCCTATTATTATTCTGTAGTTACCACAGAGGCCATGAATTTCACTGAGGAAGAACAGAATTGTTCGCAGAGAATAACCTGCCCTTGTTAATGGGTTTATACTCATCAAGGTTAGATATGGACAAGGGTGAACTAACAGACTACACTTACTGTTGCAACAGTGAAACTCTGAAATAATCTATTAAAAAAGATCAATCAGTTCCCTTACAGACATTATTTACTCTCTTTACTTAAGAAAATAAGTTTACCCCCTTGAAACACTGTCTTAACTATAATAAATATCAGTACTTTACAGGGACAAATTATTTGAGGAACGTATTTCATTTACAGACATGAGTAAGAGATGCCAGCAATGCAAATAGTTGATTTTTATTTCTACATTATGATCTATTTATTATTCTTGCTGTGGCAACAACAGACGGTATGTTGAATTGAATCCATATTATTCCTAACCTGAGCTGTTTAGGCATTAATTTTTTTTTAAATCTTTGAATATCTAATTGAACAACTGAGAAGTCATTCTGTTAACACAGCAATTTTATCTGCAAAATAAAATAATTTTTGAATGAATAATACTGTTTTGACACTGTTACTGTGATAAAAGCATATTTCCTCAGAGTCTGCTTGTTGTTAGTACGTTAGTTGTATGGAGACTGATTAGTTTTGGCACTGCAT